GGTGGAGGATCAGGGGTCAGCGCGGGGTCGTGGGTTACGGGGTACCGATTGGCTGTGGGCCGGTGACGCGCTGAGAGGGAGTGATCAGGTGGCAGCGCAGTGTGATTGGTGGAGTAATGTTAACACGCGCTGGGGAAAGCGGATCGTAGAGAGAGTGCGTCGTGATTGGCTCATTAAGGAACGACGCTCACGTCGACGCCGCATCAGCTCCGTCTCTCGTGAGCAGGGGCTATAAAAGGGGATGCACACAGGCGTAAGGGCAGTGTGTAACCAGCGAAGAATGAAGACGGGGATGAAGACCTAGAGCCCTGCGGTACCTAGCCCCGCTGTCCTAAGGGGACCGGGACTCTGTGTAACCCAGAGGCGAGTGTAGTGTGTGTAGCCATAGGTCTACACGAGCCGAATGTATTGTGTGTAGCCAGGGCATAGGGTCTACACGAGTCGAGTGTATTGTGTAGCCAGAGGCATAGGGCTTACACGAGTCGAGTGTATTGTGTAGCCAGAGGCATAGGGCTTACACGAGTCGAGTGTAGTGTGTGTAGCCAGAGGCATAGGGCTTACACGAGTCGAGTGTAGTGTGTGTAGCCAGAGGCATAAGGTCTACACGAGTCAAGTGTATCGGGTGTAGCCAGAGGCCTAGAGTTTACACGAGATTAGTGGAGTGTGTCGTCGGAAGAAGGAAGACCACACGTTGTATTGTGACACGTAAAGATTTAATAAAAGTGTGTTACCCGTCAAGAAGTTCCTGCCGTCAATTCTCATACTTCAACTGGCGTCAGAAGTGAAACGGTCCTCCAAGCATGGATACAAGGAGGAGCCGTCGGACCCACGGGATTGACCACGGGGACAACCTCGACGACGCGGGCCAGCGGGCATCAGGGGGTGAGGAAGAGGAGCTGCCCATGGGGCAGGATCCACCGACGGCGCCGGACGAGCGACGGGGGACTGACACCGTGCTTCGCGAGGCACACTCCCGTCTGGCGGAGCTGCTGCTCGCCGCCGCGTCCATCTTGGCGGAGATCAGCTCGTCGGGAGGAGCGGGGACGGCGGCCGACGTGCTACAGGGTCGCCCTGCAGATTCCCGCCAAAACGATTTGGCGATTCCCGCCATTTCATCCGCTCCAACTTTTGGCGGGAACGGCCATCACCACGTGGCAGCGGTTCTCCATGCGCGCCCGCTGACGTCACCAACGCGCGCGGCGGACCGCCATCACACACCCGCCAATGGGGCCGCCATCTTACACACCGACGGGGGGGCAGAGAGGAAGCACGAGGAGGAGGACGACTTTATCTTTCAGCAGCGCCTTCCCACGTTGTCAGCATTCAAGGCGGAAGGCGGGGATTGGAGCCAATTTCAGCGCAGATTTTTGGCGCATCAAGAGATGTCCGCCTGGTCCGACGCTACGGCACTGCGGGCACTGCCTGCCATGCTGGACGACAACGCGCTCGCGGCCTTCACGTCCGCACGCAGGTCGGACCGCTCCACGCTCAAGGATGCGCTGGCTCTCATGGCCAAAGTCTACGGTCCTCCCTCGGCGTGCCGCCATCATTTCTACGCAAGACGGAAGGCGGACACGGAGACCGTGCTCGCCTACCGCACGGCGTTGCTCGCTCTCGCTGACGCCGCGTTCCCTCGTATGGACGAGGAGGGCCAAGATGCGATGGTTTTGGAGCAGCTGCTCAAGTTGGCGCAGGACCTGGGGGTCCCCATCAACACGGCCGACGAGACCGATATTTCTTCATTACGGGTCGCCACGAGCATGCAAGCGCACGAGGTCCTTCAACGAAAGCAGGGGGTCGTCTGCAACGCTGCCGTGGCCTCAACTCCGGGTCCGGTTGACACCGGGCCCCAAGTCGTCAGCCCACGAGAGGACGCGTTCATCGCGGGACGAGCGGGGGACTGGAGGTCGGGGGGTCGTTCGCCTCTGCGAGCGGCCCGCAAGCTGGAGCAACCGAGATCTCCGACTACTGTCATCACCTGCTATAACTGCGGCCTTCGTGGCCACGTGGCCTCCGGTTGCCGCGCCCCACGTCAGCGCGCCATGGGACCTCGGCTGGACAACGACCAAGGCCCCAAGTCATCACTGCAAACCCCGGCAAGTCGCGGCACCTCACATGCTTGGCCCGCATACTCGACACGTATGGGTCGTCGCGTTGCGACGAGGGAGAGCCGAGTAGAGTTCGGGGATTCGGTTCGGAGAGGGGGGTTCGGCCGGGACCGGGGAGACATTAAATGGTCGGAATTGGGGCACAGAATAGTGGCTGCCTCAGCGGGTTCATCCGTCGTTACCGGATCGATTGATGGGGTCGAGGTCAGGGTGTTAGTGGACACGGGGGCATCGGCGACTATTATTTCGGATCTCATTTATAATATTCTCCCGGTACAATGTCGTCCGCTTCTTCCGGTGGATGTGCCATTTTACGCCGCTAACGGGGGATCGTTGGGCATTATCGGTCAGATTAGGGCGTCCATTTGCATTGGTGATATCAAATTGTCGGGACCCGTTTTCGTTTCATCTTCCCTGGCGGTTCCTTGCCTATTGGGCACTGATTTTTTGGCGAAAATGCCCATCAAAATTCTCATTGATCAGCGTTGCATTGAACTACCATCGGGTCGCCGTATTTCATTTTTGACGAGCCCTAATGTAATTCGGACGGCGTGCGCTACCATTCAGGCGTTAGCAACACAGACCGTGCACGTGCCCCCGGGTTCACAAATGTTGATTCCCCTCCGGTTACGGAAGCCATGGGGGAAGGAGGCCTCGGAACAGGCCATGCTTTTGGGTCCTTCTAATAGGGCTGTTGGAGGTCTCGATTTATCGGTGGCTCACACTTTGGTTGGGGCAGACAGGGATCCGTTTGTCATGGTTTTAAACGCTGGGGCGCGGCCGGCCGTCATTCAGCAGGGCACCGTGCTGGCTCACGCGGCACGGGTCCCTGCGGAGGAGAGGTTGGTTGCGCAGGCTGATCCGAGCCCCACGAATAGCGTACCATCGAAGGAGGACCTAGATTGGATTGATATGCTGTGCGCGGACTCTGACGATTTGTCAGCGGTACAGTTGGGTGCGTTGCGCGGGTTGCTGATTGAATTTTCGGATGTCTTCAGTAAACATAAGTATGATATCGGATGCACGGACCTGCTACGCCACCACATTGAAACGGGCGATGCGGCACCGGTCAGGCAAAATCCCTTCCGACTGAGTCCTGCTGAGAAGGAACATGTTCAGTCGGCAGTTAACGATATGCTGGAAGCCGACATTATTTCGCCTTCTTCCAGTCCTTGGGGAGCACCTATTGTGCTCGTTAAAAAGCAGGACGGGTCCCTGCGATTTTGCGTCGATTTCCGCCGCCTGAATAAGATCTCGGTGGCCGACGCGTATCCGCTCCCCAGGATGGACGAGTCTCTCGACGCATTGTCCGGTGCGCGATACTTTTCGACTCTTGATTTATTGTCCGGATTTTGGCAGTTGCCACTCAACGAGGAGTCTAAGCCTAAGACTGCATTCCGGACTCCAGGGGGCCTGTTTCAGTTTAACCGGTTACCCATGGGACTTCACTCCTCTCCTGCGACGTTTCAGCGTCTTATGGAATTGGTTTTGTCGGGCTTGCAGTGGGAGACGTGCCTCATTTACCTTGACGATGTCATTGTTTTCGGTAAAACGTTCGAAGAACACCTCCAGCGATTGAGAGGGGTGTTCTTGCGAATGCGATCGGCTAAATTAAAGTTTAAACCGGCCAAATGCCATCTTTTTCGTAAATCCGTGAGGTACTTGGGTCACATTGTCGACTCTTCGGGGATTTCTACCGATCCTGCGAAGACGGACTGTGTCAGTTCGTGGCCGACGCCCACGTCAGTGTCAGACGTGCGCAGTTTCATCGGTTTTGCTTCGTATTATCGCCGATTCGTTGAGCACTTCGCCACCATTGCAAAGCCCTTGCACGCTTTAACGGCAAAAGGAGTGAAGTTCCGGTGGGGACCGGAGGAGGAGGCTGCATTCTGCTCCCTCCGGGACGCCTTGGTAAGGGCCCCACCCTTGCGCTATCCGGACTTTGAGAGTCCCTTCTTGCTAGACACGGATGCTAGCAACACGGGCATTGGGGGAGTGCTGTCCCAAGTCGTTGGAGGGGTCGAACGGGTGGTCGCCTATGGTAGCAGGGTGTTGTCGCCGGCAGAGCAGCGCTACTGCGTCACCCGTCGTGAACTACTTGCCATTGTTTTTTTTGTACAACAATTCAGGCCATATCTCTATGGTCGTCATTTCACGGTCCGGACGGACCATGCGGCGCTCCAGTATTCATTACGGGTTGCCCAGCCCTCGGGCCAATTGTCGCGGTGGTTGGAAGTCCTCCAGGACTATCAGTTCACGACTACGTACCGTAAAGGGTTGCGACACACGAATGCCGATGCCCTGTCGCGGTTGTTGCCTTGTCACAAATGTGCGTGCTTATCGGGATCGGCGCGCTGTAAACCTCCGGTTACGGAAGGTAGGGAGGCGTTGGTTGCGACCGCGAGCACTCCAATTGGGGATGGTCCCGCTACCCCAGGGGGTCAGGACTCGCTGCTCTCACTGTCGTTGATTGAGTGGGGCCGTCTCCAAATGGCGGACAGCTCCCTGCTGGCATTGCGCCGAAAGACGGAGGGTTCCGAAGGTAGCCACGACCGAACTGGCTCCTACGAGCTTAAGCAGGGCCTGTTGATGAGATGGGATAGTTTGTCCCGGCGGCATGCGATTGTGGTGCCTTCTGCTGTGAGGGGGAAGGTTGTCTTGGCCGCACACGAACGCCTCTTGCATTTGGGAGTTAACAAAACGCTTGCCCTGCTTCAGCGTGACTATTATTGGCCGGGAATGGGGGGTGACGTGGTGAATATTCTGAAGGGTTGTGTTGAGTGCGCCAGACGGAAACCACCGCCCGTGGCAGCTAATCCACCGCTGCAATCTATTCAGGTCTCGCGCACTAACGAGCTCGTTGCACTCGATATTCTGGGGCCCTTTCCGGTCACGCCTAGGGGTAATAAGTACCTGTTGGTGGGGGTCGAATATTTTACCCGGTGGCCTATGGCGTGGCCACTCGCCAACCAGTCGGCGGCGGCTGTGACGGACGCCTTTGTCCAGGGCTACGTCCTGGACAAGGGGGCTCCCGAACGCTTGCTGACTGACCAAGGGAAAAATTTTTCGAGTAAATTACTGCGAGAGGTGTGCGACCTGTTGGGTACCAAAAAGGTGCGTACCTCCCCATACCACCCGCAGACGGACGGGATGGTGGAGAGGCTTAACAGGACATTGACCTCTATGCTGTGCCAGCAGGTGTGTGAGTCGCATGTTGATTGGGACCTGCAGGTCCCTGGGGTCCTTGCCGCGTATAGAATGGCCCCCCATGCAGCTACGGGGTTTTCCCCGTTTTATCTAATGTACGGTCGGGAAGCCGACCCGCCCATGGAAACGCAGCTGGGTCTGCCCGCACCACGAACTAATTCTAAATTGGCAGAGCATATTAAATTTAATATTCATAAACTGACAGAGGCAAGGGAGGCCGCACGGCTTAATTCGCGGGCTCGCCAAATTGCGAACGAGCGGTTGCGGGCACGGAAGGTGTCCGTGCACAATTGGGAACCAGGTGACAAGGCCTGGCTGCATTGCCCTCAGGCACCTTTGGCCACGTCGCCTAAATTGTTGAAGCCGTGGCGGGGACCCGTGGAGGTCGTGCGGGTTGCACGCCCCCAGTGCGTTCAGATAAAATGGGGGAAACGCCGTTGGTACGTCCACCCCTCCCGACTGAAACCGTTCTCGCCTCCGTATGGCCTCCCCTTGTGTCGTGAGGGCCGAGCATGTGACGTGACCGACGGCCTTGAGGGGGAATTGTCCTTGCCTGCTCCTCACATGTCTCCGCCTGATCCGCTCCCAGGTGTCTCGGAACTGACTGCTGCCGACCACCGGCGGCCGGATCTTCACGGCGGGGCCGGTCCTTCCAGGCCCGATCCGCGCCGTCTAGAGCTGCCGGAGACACCGGACGGTCGCCAACGTCCCGTTCCATACGACGGACCGGCCAGACGGACTCGCGCTAGGTCGCGCTACTTTGTGTAACCTACCACGTGCGGAGTCGAGGCAGCCGGAGCGCCTCGGCACTGCGTGGGTCACAGTGACACTTGGCGCGTTCGTTTTACGGTGTTCGCTTTTATTGTGTTGTTCGTCGGGCTGTATATTGCTTCGTATTTAAGGTTGTGTTATGTTGTTGTTGTTGTGTTACGGGGCACACTGGGATGTTGAGTTCTTTATTACTGCGTTGCGTTATGTTGTGTTGTAGGTTAACAGCCGGGCCGGCTGCAAGCTATGTGGGAGGGGGTGATGTAGAGGTGATACGCGCTGGGATTAGGGATCGTATGCACAGTGCGTGATGATTGGCTGTGTAGGTGGTGACGCGCGCTGACGGTGGAGGATCAGGGGTCAGCGCGGGGTCGTGGGTTACGGGGTACCGATTGGCTGTGGGCCGGTGACGCGCTGAGAGGGAGTGATCAGGTGGCAGCGCAGTGTGATTGGTGGAGTAATGTTAACACGCGCTGGGGAAAGCGGATCGTAGAGAGAGTGCGTCGTGATTGGCTCATTAAGGAACGACGCTCACGTCGACGCCGCATCAGCTCCGTCTCTCGTGAGCAGGGGCTATAAAAGGGGATGCACACAGGCGTAAGGGCAGTGTGTAACCAGCGAAGAATGAAGACGGGGATGAAGACCTAGAGCCCTGCGGTACCTAGCCCCGCTGTCCTAAGGGGACCGGGACTCTGTGTAACCCAGAGGCGAGTGTAGTGTGTGTAGCCATAGGTCTACACGAGCCGAATGTATTGTGTGTAGCCAGGGCATAGGGTCTACACGAGTCGAGTGTATTGTGTAGCCAGAGGCATAGGGCTTACACGAGTCGAGTGTATTGTGTAGCCAGAGGCATAGGGCTTACACGAGTCGAGTGTAGTGTGTGTAGCCAGAGGCATAGGGCTTACACGAGTCGAGTGTAGTGTGTGTAGCCAGAGGCATAAGGTCTACACGAGTCAAGTGTATCGGGTGTAGCCAGAGGCCTAGAGTTTACACGAGATTAGTGGAGTGTGTCGTCGGAAGAAGGAAGACCACACGTTGTATTGTGACACGTAAAGATTTAATAAAAGTGTGTTACCCGTCAAGAAGTTCCTGCCGTCAATTCTCATACTTCATATGTACCTCTTGGTGGCCTAACCCGAGGGTGGGTATGTATATATGTGTAGAGTAATAGCGCTGGCTGCTGATGGAAAGTGGTAACTGCAATCCATGGCAGTACACACATCAGCAGGCGACAGTATACACGGGGGGAAGACAACTAGGGCCGATTTCATGGAGGGGTCCATCTGGAAGCCCCGGGAACCTGCTATTAGTTCCAGAAGGGGGGTATGGCCAGGGTGGAGCAAGGCCACGCCATGAGCTTAAGGGGGAGCCCCTCGCCGTGCTGTCTTCTCGCCACCATTGTCTCCACCGTCTACACCATCACTGGGCGCCGCTAACTAGACAGTCTGCCAACTGTTCTCGCTAGATAGTGCTGCCGCCGATAGATGGTTCTGTGTGATATTTAGTGTACACCCATGTAGGGTGCGTTTAGTCCCCATTGTGTGTGGAATAAAGGTGCCTCAAATTACTATTGTCTCCGAACTGCGTAACTACAACTGGTGTCAGAAGTGGTTAGAAAAATGCAATAGACATTAGGGTATAGTAGCAATATCAAAGTTATCAAGGAAAAGGAACCCACCCATAGTGTCATCAGAGGACGAGGATAGCGAGACGGTCATCCCTCCGACAGCCCCGGGACCCAGGACCCCGGTTACAAACCCCGTCGGCGCGAGAGCGGCGACTGCGGATCAGTGCGAGAGGGGCACCAACCTTTTTCTCGTGGCCGTCGGTCAGCTGGTCGCGCAGATCTCCACTCCCACGCCTGCCGTTCAGGGGATGGCAGGTGGGCCGTGGAGTTCGCCGGAGCTGCCGTCTGCAGTGCCGATTCCCACGGCGGAGACCACGCAGTTGCCGGCCGCCATTTCGCCCATGGAGGGCACTGCAGAGCCTGCGGGGGCCATTTGGCATGGGCGGCAGGGCTCGCTGGAGCTGCCACCGGCAGCAAGGGTTCCCGTGGCAGAGACCACACAGTTGCTGACCACCCTTTCGCCCATAAAGGGCACGGCATTGTCGGCAGGCACCACTGAGAGGGAGCCGCAGGATGCGTCGGAGCTGCCGATTGCAGCGGCAATTCCCACGGCGGAGGCCACGCGGTTGCCGGCCACCATTTTGCCCGTGGAGGGCACGGCAGAGCCTGCGGGAGACATTTGGCATGGGCCGCGGGGCTCGCCAGGGCTGCCGTCTGCTGTGGCGATTCCCACGGCGGAGACCACGAGGTTGCCGGGTGCCATTTTGCCCATGGAGGGCAAGGCATGGCCGGCAGGCACCATTTGGAGCAGGACGCGGGAGGACGCTATGAAGGCGCCACATCCGCCGGCGCTGCAAGGAGCCGCGTGCCAATCATGGAGGCTGCCTCCCATTAGGGAGTTCAAGGCGGCGGGAGGTGATTGGATGGCGAAGCAGCTTGGGTGTCCGTCAGGTAGACGGAAAAGGTGGCCCTGCGGGCCCTACCAATGGCCCTCGCTCACCAGGGAGGAGCCGCAACCCTTTAGGCCGTTTTGCTTGTTCCTCGGAGCCCCCAAGAAGTACTGGATCCTGCCCAAGGCGGGGGACTGGTGTCAAGGACTCGGTTCACTTGAGCAATATCCGGTAAAGCGAACTCTCCCTTGTACTGTTTCATTGGGGAAAAATCAGGTGTTAAAGGGGAACGGGCACTGAGAAGGGGTTGTGTGGTGCTGCGTGCTTTGTTGGTGGTTGTTGTTTTGTCGGTGCGCGGGGGGGCATCGCAGTTGTTCTGTCCCTAACGAGTTATTTTTTGCCTGCACCGCGCGCCGAGTGTCACGGCTGTTGTTTTGTCGGTTAGCGGGGGGCACCGCGGTTGTGCTGTGTGTTGTTGGTTCGCGGGGGGTGCCATGGTTGTGCTGTGTGCCTGCGCGCATGCCGACTTGCTCGGAGGGTTGTTGAGGCGCAGGGAGTAGCGCGATTTTGGTTTTGGATGGTTGTTTTTTTTGCGTTTTGAGGGTTTTTGAATGTTCCTCAGTTGTGGGAGTTGCTCTGGCTATCCACCCAGTTGCATTGCTATGTATCAGCCGGGACAACTGTTTTTTTTAACCAATGGGGGGGGGGGAGGTGATGTAGTGTAATAGCGCTGGCTGGTGGACAGCAATGGCGGCTGTAGTAGACAAGACAGTACACACACCGGTGAGCGTGAGCACGGGTGTATGCGAAGAACAGAGGAACTAGTGTAAGGGTCACGGAGGACCACATCTGGAGGCCCCTGGAACCTGCTAGCGGGTTCAAGAAGGGAGGCGCGGTCAGGGCAGAGTCAGGCTGCGCTGGTAGCATAAAAGGACCCAAGAGCGAGGGCTCGAGGCTGCCAGTTCTGGGAATGGACTTGTCTTGTTGTTGCTGTCGTCTAGTCGCCATCGTCGCTAAATGTCTCCGTTAGATATTGCACTACAAAGGATAGTAGTTGGCTATCTCAGTCAGCGCCGTCAGTGTTAGATGGCTAGTGTTATGTACAGGCTCAGCTGAGCTACTGTGGAGAGTGTGCGGACAAGACCGTAAAAGTTGTTAATACCACCTAAGGTCGGCCCCTCGTGCTCACGGCTAATCTACACTGTTCCCTCCTTTTAGCGTGCTCTGTCAGCTCTGTCAGTGCGGGGTGTAGGTATATTGTACCACTCTTCAATTCGCTCAACACCAGACTGCCGCCCCTGCCCCTGTGCCTCCCCTTTTTTGTTTATGCCCACTCTGCCCTCAGCTCTTTCATTTCCTACCAATAGGGGGAGCGGTCTAGCCCTCGGCAAGGTAAGGTAAAAGTTAAACGGTAAAAAAAACAAGACTACCTTTACCCTACCTTTTACCTTACCACAATACAATTGCTCTACCCTACCTTTTACTCTTTAGCAGGTAAGGTAAAAGGTAAAAAGCAACGAGCCTACCTTTACCCTACCTTTTACCCTTATCCCATACAAATTACCCGAATACAGGGAATTTACTAGGGTATAACGCATGAAAACGTTTTATAACGATACATGCTAGGTAGAGCGCTTTATACATATAGAATACTCTCGAATCGGGCGTTGAGGCTGTCGACGACACCGTCCTCCATAACCTCCTCGTCCCAGTCGTCTTGGTCGATGGCGATCTCATCAACAACCTGATCAAGTTCGTCATTGCCATCGTCCTTGGACGAACGACAGGCAATAAGATCCTGCGCCGCTCCGACTCAGATGGAACCTTCAGGCAGCCGACGTCCCGAACTCGCTGCCTGGGGCGAGCACGTTGTGCTTCTTGAGGTGGGCTTTCCACCCCGACGCATTCGTGTGGGTGCAAAACCACTTGTGGCAGTGCGTGCTGTACATTGGGATCACCCTCCATCCAATCGTGCATGTGCTCCCACGGGAATGCATGCCGCAGCTTCTTTCGATTGCTGTTCGCAGTAACCCCAAAAATGCCATTGCTGACATCCTCATCCTCGAGTACCTCTACTTCAAGAACGTGGACCGTCTAAATCTGGTCCGACATCAATTATCGCAATTTAAAATGGAGGCCACGGACTGCGCCACGGATCTTTTAGCGGTAAACAAGGTAATGTATTTACCGGGTAATTATTCGCGCTACCTTTACCCTACCGGGTAATTCTTCTGAGCTACCTTTACCCTACCCTTTACCTTATCCCTTGGCATGTCGAAATCTTTACCCTTTACCCATTTACCCGGTAAAAAAGGTAATTTACCTTACCTTGCCGAGGCCTAGAGCGGTCCTACGGAATTCGCCAGCGCAATCACGTGACCCCTACTCTCCCTTTTCACCCCTCCCCACCTCCCTCACACACCCGCTAACTGTCAATCAACTTTTTAATTACTCCCAGCAAGAAGTGGTCTTTCCCACCCGCTTGGGCACAGACATTTCCTTTCGTATTTGATCACATTGAACCTTGTACATTAGGAGAACACATATTCAGGCGTCCACTTGGAGTGACTTGGCCTAAAAACCTTTGTCCGAGATGTGGGTGGATGGCGGTTCTAGCATTAACAGAGAGAGAAAGAGTGAGAGAGCAACCCACAAACAACATGTCCCTCCATCACCCAATGTTCCTTTGTCACCGGCCGTACCGTGTACCTATTTATTTTGTGTGGCTGCAATAGGAACTGTGAGTGTGGGCTTATGTGCTTATGTTAATAATTGCTTATGCGATTATGTTAATTTTATACAGCTGCACCCTTCTGGGGCACCTGCCATGCCCACATCGGGAAGTAAAATGCTGGTTTTAGCGTATGGCTCCACAGTATACACACGCCGATTGGTTGCAGTACATGACGTCTCTAAGACCAAGCAGCCAACCAGAGGGGCAGAAATTACAGGAAAAACTGTCTTAGCATATTCTTACACGAGATTATTATAATAACTTTACAGATAACATAATCGCTTCATAATATTCAAATACATATAATCACACACACATTCATGTTAATCATTTATCATTTTTGTTCAATCGCAATTATTATTAATTGCACACATTCTTAATCGTTATTCATGAAAATGTTTTAATACATACATTATTAATTACACTTAACACACATTTAATTAGATCTCTCATGCTCAAATGTCCTTTGCATTGCACTCTCATGCCTTTGGATTGTACTCTCATGCTCACATGTCCTTTGGATTGCACTCTCATACTCATATGCCTTTTGGATTTCACCCTTTGGGTTGCTCTCATGCCTTTGGATTGCACCACTCTTCGATTTTACATTAACATGCTAATCTCTCACATTAACATAGCCACTTCCAAGCCCTCATCTAGGAGGCCGCTTTGGATTGCACCACTCTTCGATTTCGCATTAACATGCTAATCTCTCACATTAACATAGCCACTTCCGTGCCCTCGTCTCGGAGGCCACTCTCCTATATTACAGTTACATGCTAATTTCTCACATTAACATCATGCTAATATCTCACATTAACATCACTAGCCCCGGCCACTTATTTATGACCCTTGGGCTACACCCATTTCAAACCTTTTAAGTCTGCCTCAGGAGCAAACCATGCTTCTCCACGTGATGACAGACACTTGTGTTGCGTCCAAAACGTTGTGATTTATTTTATTTTATACCTACGTGACTTTCCCGAAAGAACCAAAGAGTATTAATTACATATTAACATATTTTTTGTACATTTTAACAGTTTTTTTCATATATATTTTTTTATCACAATATATATGTAG